ATATATATATATAAACAACAGAATATAATTTTTCTACAATTTTACTACAATTTCGTAAATATAATGTATATCATGTCTTTTTCTTCTTCTTTTTCGAGTTTCAATCTAAATTCAGCCAAAGTTAAGTCTAATATTCACCAAAACACCCTCAAATTTGAGATATAAACTCCAAACTATATTCTCAATTGTTTGCAACAACACCCAATTCAAACGAATAATAGTTTTTGAAAACCCGTATTCGAATTCAAAGCTTTAAAGCTTTTTAATGGCTGTCAATGGTGGAATTTCTGATCTCTTTTTCTTTGCTTTACATTACTAAAATTAAGTATTAAGAGATAGAGAGAGACCTAGAGAGTATTTCCAATTCTTTGCAACAACACCCAATTCAAACAAATGATGTTCTTTGAAAACCCAAATTCGAATTCAAAGCTTTAAAGCTTTTTAATGGTTGTCAATGGTGGAATTGTTGCTCTCTTGTGCAAGATACGTGGGTGAGAGGGGTAGGATGTGGAGAGAGAAACGTGGGGGGAGTGGGAATATACGGTAGAGTTATTTTAGGACACTAATTAATATTATTATTAATTCCCATAAAGTATACATAAATGGTAATTGGGTATATAAAATGTAATTATAGTAAAACTTAAGTAGGGAGGGTAATATAGTTTCATATAGTTTATAGGAATGTAAAAATCTCAACTATAAACATATCCCTCCTCTTCTTCATTTCTTCATTCATCTCTCAATTCTCAAATCCAAATTCTCAATTTAAGTTAAATCATGCCCTGTGGTTTTGGTGTACGCTCATATGTTTGGGAATACTTTGAGGTGGTAGAAGAAAATAAAGAAGTTCGCAAAGAAAAGTGCAAGAACTGTGGCCAAGTCTTAAATTTTTGTCAAAAGTGAGAGGGTACACGCTGTTTAAGGAGGCATATGAAGAGTTGTCTAGAGCGTCCTCCAGAAATTCGTATTTAAGTTGATTTGAGACAACTTGTGTTATTTTAAAATTATTAGACTTATTTAAGCTTAATATTTTAGTTTGTTAGATTAATTTGAAGTATTATTATGCAATGAAAACTATGAAAGTCTTTGAAGTTTGATTTATATTTAATAATTAAAGTTTGAATTTACTCTTTTTTCTTTAATTTAGTTGTTTTAAAATGTAAACTTTAATTTTCAAGTTTGAATTAAAAAAAGAACTTGCAAATTATAAGTTCAATTTTTCCCCTCTTCATTGTATTCTATTATCTTAAATTCTTAATGAAATATTCAAATATAAGGATTAAGCTTTTGAAATTTATTCAAACACTCTTTTTATAAGATTGTTTTTATGTTTTACATTTTTTACTTTATCTTAATATAAATTACGGTAGTTATACAAAATATAATTTTTTTTTAATAAAACCGGTCCGGCCCGACCCCTTAGGCATGGAACCATTCATGTTCAATAATTCACCGGAGGGGCTAGGAACTGGTAAAACCGGTATTAAAAATCGGTAACCGGCCCAGTCCGGAGACCGACCGATCTCCTTTTCCAATAACCCGGACCAGACCGGACCCTTGACACCCGTATACATGACTCGGTAGGGGTGTACATGGACCAGATTGGTTCTGTTTTTATTAAAACCAAACCAAACCAACTATATAGGTTTGAATTGATTCGGTTTGTCGAACTTTTTAGATTTTTTTATTACACAAATATTTTTTCAATCTTACTTTGTTAAAGTTATAAATAAAGTTTTGATAATTGAATATATGTTAGTAAAAATTTTAAAAATTGAATAACACATGATCTATTAAAATATTCTTATGGGAGAATTTCCTTATTAATATATGATAGTTATTTTCTTAGTTGTCTAATAATAAATCTTTGTTAATGTATGCTTTCAAGGTTAATCGGGTTTAATAATTAAACATAAAAAATAAGATGATACCTAAATAATAATATATTCTATTTAATTTTAAATTATCGAAATACCATTTCAAATTCGAAAAAGATATAAGAAATCTTAAGAACAAAAAAATGGTTGATGCACTTCAGTAACACTTAAAAAGAAAGTGATACAATCTATTATTTATTGTAAATAAAAATGAATGCACTTCATTCAACAACAACAACAACAACAACAATATACCCAGTATTGTTCCACACTATGGGGTCTGGGGAGGGTAGTGTGTACGCAGACCTTACCCCTACCTTGTGAAGATAGAGATGTTGTTTCCAATAGACCCTCGGCTCAGGAAAGTTCTATTAAATATAACATCCCATGAGAGGATCAGAAATATTTTTATATTTTTAAAGAAAATTTAATATAAAGTCTTAAAAGTATATATAAAAACTACTATATATTTATATGTTGGTTTGGTTCGGATTTCTTTACTCAATACCAAACCAAATATAGTCGGATTTTATAATGGCAAAATACATAGGTTACCCCTGAACTATGGACCAAATCCCTATTACACACTTTTTGCGGACGATCATCACCTTACAAACTCAATCTTTCGAAAGTGTCCTTAAGACACACCACTTTTTTCTTGACCAGTTTTTTAGAAAATATGTAATATCACGCACCAATCATACAATGACACGTATCATTGACTTAAAAAAAAAAAACACCCACCCAAATATAAAAAAAGAAAAGAAAAATGAAAAGGAACCATCTCCTTCATCGTGCCTTCACTAGAGCTTTTCAGCTCATATCTCTGCCTTCATCAACAATCCTCTTTCATCATTCATCCATTAACACACACATATCCTAGAAAAAATCATGGATAATTAAAAACATAAACCTTCCATAGCCTTCTCGCTATCTACATTGCTGCCGACCACAAAAAAACCCAAACTTCCACCTTACAATTCAAAAAAAAAAAAAAAAACCCTAATCAACTGCTCCTACCTTCTGATGTATTCTTCCTCTTTTTCTAAAAATTTTCAAGATATAACAAGTGAGTTTTCTCCATGGCTGCCCCATTGAAAAGGGAAATAAAAAAGGAGATTCTTCTCAATTGTTCTTCCAATCTCACTTGAAAACTTCATTACAGATTCTTCTACACTATTTATAATTTTTTTCCTGAATCGATTTTTTCCCTCGGTCTGTTATTATTTGAATTGGATTTCTTCATTGAAAGTGGAGAAAATGGATAGTAAACATCTGTATTATCTTCAATTTGAACCAGATTACTTTAGAAAAATGAAAAATGGAAGATATTGGAAAAGGAAAAAAAATCCATTTAACCGTTGGATAAGTTTTATTAAATCTGGACCCTTAAAATACACAATCAGATATACAGTTTTAACTGTTTAGACGCCTTATTTTGTTTGTAAAACACGCACTTGCCACATAGATAAAGAGGTGTGTCTTAGACACGCCCTGGAAAGGTTGAGTGTGTAAGGTGATTTTAGTCCGTAAAAAGTGTGTAACAGGGATTTGGTCCATAGTTCAGGGGATAACTTATGTATTCTGCCTTTTATAATCGGTTTGATTTGACTTTTCGATTTCGTGTAGTTTTCCGATTCAATTTGAACACCCCTGTACTCGGCAAGAAAGTAGTGGAGAAGAGTAGAGTAGTGGACATTTACACTGTATTTCATAACATAGCAAGTGTTATCTTATTGAAAAGAGAAAGAAAGTAGGTTATGATCACATCTTAAATCGAATGCTCCATTTATGAACTATATCATTTCACTTTTCTGTTTTGTACAAAAGAACATTAATATTTCATGTGGTAAAAAGAATGAATACTTAAATTTATGAAGTAGCTAGTTGAGTTTAGAAGTAAAAGAATGAGAGGTAAGTAAATAGAGAAATGGCGCCACAGCAAGACCACCCTAAGGTGATGGCTGGGCTGCTGCTGCTGCTGCTACTAGAACTACGAGACGCACCAGCTACGCCAGCTCCTCTACCGATGCCGCCGCTGCCGCCTCTTCTTCGAGCAGCGGCAGATGTTAGGAGGAGGCAAATGACAGAAAGTAAAATCACAACCTTCACATTCTTCTTCATTAATTCCTTGTCAGCTAGTTGTTCTGCAGTACTTACTTTCTTGATATGACCTAATTAATTCGTTTTCTTCTTCCTTTTATGTTTCTTTTCTCTTTTTTCTTGTGTGTCCTGTGGATGCGCAAAAGCGAAACGAGTTATGCCCTATTTATATCATACTTCTTAGCTTGAAAAGATAAAGGCAATTCTCTTACAGATTAAACCACGAAGTTTCGTTGACACGCTTAATTCCTATAAAGGTCAAGTATTGAAAAGTATATATTCAAGAGAAGAATATAAGTCAACAAAAGTTTGCTAATAATAGTAGTAATGTTTTAGCTGGCGTTGTTTATTGAAAAGTCAATATTGGGACGACGCTTGTCCGATTATACAAGTTGGAGGCACGGGCACCCACCATAAACTACACTTGACCATTGAAAGTCAACAACAACAACAACTACCCAGTATAATCCCACAAGTGGGGTCTAGGAAGGGTAATATGTACGCAGACCTTACCCCTACCTCGAAGGGTAGAGAGACTGTTTCCAGGAGACCCTCAACTCAAAAAGGTAATAGGAGCCGATATATTAGTACCATAAAAATGCATAATAAAATAACAGCAATATAAGAGATATGAAATACAGAATACGAAATACGAAATAGATGGCTGGTATAGTAAAACTAGCAGGTAAAGCCCTGCATCAATAGACGACCAATGACATTCTTAGTCTAACTCCTAACTGGCTAGTCTCACTCTATTGTGCTGTAGAAATATTCACAACTTTCCCCTAACCTACAACCTTAATGCTCGACCTCCATAATTCCCTGTCAAGGGCCATGTCCTCAGTAATCCTAAGTCGCGCCATGTCCTGTCTGATCACCTCTCCCCCATACTTCTTAGGTCTTCCTCTACCTCTCTGCGTGCCCACTACATCCAGTCGCTCACACCTCCTCACCGGTGCATCAGTGCTCCTCCTCTGAATGTGCCCGAACCATCTGAGTCTTACTTCCCGCATCTTGTCCTCCATGGGGGCCACACCCACCTTCTCTCGAATATCTTCATTCCTAATCTTATCCATCCTTGTATGCCCGCACATCCACCTCAACATCCTCATCTCTGCTACTTTCATCTTCTGGATGTGTGAGTTCTTTACCGGCCAACATTCAGTTCCATATAACATGGCAGGCCTAACCACTGCTCTATAAAACTTACCTTTTAGTAACGGTGGCACTTTCTTGTCACACAAGACTCCCGACGCTAACCTCCACTTCATCCACCCCACCCCTATACGGTGTGTGACATCCTCGTCAATCTCCCCGATCCCCTGAATAACCGATCCAAGGTACTTGAAACTACCCCTCTTGGGAATGACTTGAGAGTCAAGCCTCACTTCAACTCCTGCTTTCGTCGGCTCAATGCACTCGAGGTATTCCGTCTTCGTCCTGCTCAACTTGAAACCTTTAGACTCAAGAGCATGTCTCCAAATCTCTAGCCTCTCGTTGACGCCGCCTCGT